ATGAAAAAAGGCATTCATTCTCGGGACAAGAATATAATTTTGCCTCTTTATAAATCACTGGTAAGACCCCATATTGAATATGCTGTGCAATTTTGGGCACCTGTTCTAAAGAAGGATATTATGGCACTAGAAAAAGTGCAGAGGCGGGCTACAAAATTAATAATTATATGGAACATATCGGCTATGAAGAAAGGTTAACAAATTTAAACCTATTTAGTTTAGAAAAACATCGCCTGAGAGGGGATATGATAACATTATATAAATATATTCAGGGCCAATACAAACCATTGTGTGGAAATCTATTCACAAACCGGACTTTACATAGGACACGAGGCCATGCGTTTAGACTGGAAGAAAGAAGATTTTGTCTAAGGCAAAGGAAAGGTTTTTTTACTGTAAGAACAATCAGGATTGTGGAATTCTCTGCCTGAAGAAGTGGTTTTATCAGAGTCCATACAGATGTTCAAACGGCTACTAGATGCATACTTGCAAGAACAAAATATTCAAGGATATAATCTTTCAATGTAGGGTAATAACTGCTTGATCCAAGGATAAATCTGACTGCCATTCTGGGGTCAAGAAGGAATTTTTTTCCTAGCTTGTTGCAAAATTGTGCTTCAAACTGTTTTTTTTTGCCTTCTTTTGGATCAACAGCAAAAAACAAATGTGAGGTAGGCTGAACTTGATGGACGCAAGTCTCTTTTCAGCTATGTAACTATGTAACTATGTAACCAGTTGCTTTGACAGCTTAGGATGGAAAGTGGCAGAGAGTGGTTCTCATGAGTATCTGCAAAATATTATCAAATATGCCAAAGTTCCTTCAATAAAGCTAATATGTATTGTAGCTCCCTTGAGAATTAGAAATAGAGAATTGATTGACAATGTGATGTTATAGCCCTGTCGGCAACCACAATTGTTTAAGTTTCTATGTGGATTTTATATTGTTAAGGTGTTTTGTTTTTTTTTGTAGTTGGTTTTGTCTCATGTGTAGGACAATATGTCTGTATTTTTATTCTTTATCTACTGGAAAATTGTAAATTTTGGAATGTGTCTAAGCTATATTAACAGTTGCCAGAGTAGTCGCAAACTCAGAACATATGACAGGGTTATTCACGAAAGTGAGAATTGTTAGAAATTTTAAGTTATTTCAATGCCAATTCCAACTTTCAGGCAAATCTAGCCAAAAATAAAGCCACTCTGGTTTGACATCTACAGATGGATAATGCAAAACTAAAGCCACGCATTTTGGTATCGTGAGAGCGCTGATTAAAAAAAAAAAAAAAAATTCAATAGTTTTTACAGAAAATAGGAGGATATCAACAAATGATTATTGACATCAAAACCATTACAATATGCTGTAGTGGTTATGATGTTTAGAGTGTCCATTTAAATAACTGCAACCTTAAAGGTTGCTTTTCTTCAATTCCATTTAAATAAATGCAGCCTTAACTTCATATTTCTATCTGCAGAAAAAAACAAAAACATCTTGTTCTTATCTGAATTTGTAGTGTTTTTATCTACAATGCTCTGGTAAAACCTTATAAAATGGTTAACTGAAAATATAGGTAAATAAAAGAAGCTCTATAGTGTGTAAAACACTAACACCAGAACCAGAATAGCAATAGCATCTAACGTTTGTTTAGTTTTTATGTAGCATAGCATTCATCCTGGAAAAACAACAACATAAAAAAATAACTTTAGAGAGAGACCTGCAAAACACAAACATAAGTGAGATTTGCATTTTTCACATCTCATGGTTTACAGCACAGCCAGAGTCTCATCTCTCCAACCTGTAAAAGAACAAGAACAAACTGTATATGTTAAAAATAATAATAAAATAAGCAAACATAATACATGAACATCCATACAGATATGCTCCAAAAGATTTTTCATATATTTTGTCTTCAGGTGAGTTGAAAAAAACCTTTATAACTTTGCTGATTTATTATGAATTTGAAAAGTTGATAGTCAACCCAACACATCTTACTGTGCTTTATTAGACTTCTGTAATATCTGCAATACTAAAGAGATATATAAAGACACAATATAAACTCCAATCCTAGTTCATTAGCACCGACTAAACAAATAGAGTCATTAGATAATCCACATTGGGAAACACACAGTTCTGGATATAGAATAATTCATGCACTTACAGTAATGTAGAAATGTAATGAGGGTATGTATGACTCCAGATACACAATCCAGTATTAGAAGATACACAAAGCAACATGATATAGCACAGCTCTTACAAAGCAAGGGTCCTTTATTGTGGCAGCATATTGTCAGGTTTGGGGTAACCCCTATACACAGGGAGAAGGATATTAGCCAAGATAGAAGGGAGGACGCGGTACGCATAACGGACCCTAGAGTGGTGGGGCTTAACGTGTGCCTTAATAGACGAGAAGCGTAGTAATAAAGGATGCCTAGGTCAAGGGATACAGAGGTACTCAAGAACGAGAAAACAAGCCAAGGTCAAAAGGGATACACAGAGCGTCAGAATATTTAAATACAAAACCAGGTCAGCAACAGGAAATACAGAATAATAATATAACGCACTCTCGGGCTAGCAAGAACCATGACAAATTATTCCAGTCAGAGTGGTTAGTACAGAGAAGATCCAACTCATTAATTTATGCTGCAGAGTCAGACAAGGCTACCTCCACTAAAGAACTTACATATAGGTAAAACACTGCTCACTTTAACACAAGAGAATGAAGGCATATCTAAATAAATTAGGTATTAGCGCTCTCTCTCTGGCCCCAAGTGCTGAGGCCCACCAGGAAATTTCCCGGTATCCCGGTGGGCCAGTCCAGCCATGCCTGCTATTGGGGCTAAGTTTAACACATAACAAAAAGTGAGAGAGATCATAATGGGAGTAAACTGCTACTATGCAGAGTAAGATCCCATAGTGATTAGCAAACAGCACTCAAGAATCATGGCTTTTACTTTAATTTCCTCAATATTCTGAAGATCTTAATTGGTCCTTTTCTGCTGCTTCTTCACAGCCATCATTCATTCAGTGTCAGCCCTTTGGTAAAGACTTTACTTTTCACATTAAGGACTTATTATTTCTTACCAAGAAACTGCCTTATTTTCTGCTTCTGTTTTGCATTGGGACTTTTTCAATTATATTTACTTGCCTCATAATAAAGACCTTATATTTAAAGACTGTGTCTGTCCACATCTCTGAAGCTCATTCACCCAAAACCCGTGACTATTGTAATTTCCTTTTGCCTTCCCATCCTCAACACTCCCTCACTTTATCTGATCGAGAAGCTGTAGCATAGTGAGTGGATCATACCATAGTACAGATAAGACCATGGCTTCAATATTGTGTATGCTTTTTATTTGCAAGTGTGGACATCCAGCTTTGAGGTTGCCAGTGTCAAAGGAGGGTTAAGGTGATGAAGTGTCCAGATCATTTGAGCTCATGTATAGGGAGTTAAATATGCCTGCTCTAATTAATCCTACTAGACATTTTTTACAATGATTGGAAGTAAAAGTCACATTATAAAGTCAAATATACATCCTATTTTCTTGATGTTTAGTAACCACTTTTCCTTCCTTTCTTTTACCATTTGACACCAACTACGTATTAAATTCAATACATCAAACCTGTCTCCAGGTGTTAACCAATGCCTAAGAGTGTGACTTGTTTCTTTTGTGAATTTGATTTTCTGCTGCTAATTTGAATTCTTTTGATAATGATACTATTATTCTTTGTATCTGTTATTGGTTCATTTATAAACTCTGTCATTTTTATTTTAATGCTTGTCTTTAACAAAAAGATTTGAAATAAATAAATAATCAATTTACCCTTTCAGGTCAAATTTAGAGAAATTCTAGATTTTTTATTTTTTTTAATATGGGGATATATTTTTCAAATTATTTATCTACAGAAGTCCCCATTAATTCTGTTGGAATCGTAAATACATCATTGGAAACGTTTTTCTAACCAACTGTAAAAAACTTATCCAAAATAATTAAATCTAGGTTTGGTTTGGGTAAAGTTCCTTTCAACGTCTGTTCTTTTGGTTTATATTTCAAAGATCATCACAACTCGTTGTTCAGAAAATAAATCTTTATATTATTTACATTACAGTACAAGGAATGCAGGTATTGAAAGAAGAATAAAAATGTCAAATTATTATTTCTGAAAGTTAGAATACGCTGATTTAAACTCACCCTGTTGAAATTCAATTATACCAAAAACAGGATAGCTAAATTAAAGTGTAATTGGTTTACTTTTCTTGGCATTGTTACAATTGTCTCCAATAGTTTAATATTCATGTAACATGCTGCCATACATTGTAATGTAGCCTTATTTATGGAAAGAAAATGTAATCCTCTTTTCTGGCTTATGTTAATTTCAATAAAATATTAAATCCATTTTCTAATCTAAATGAGTTCATTAGGGGAGACAAGGCACTGAGAAAACCCAAATCCCTACAGATACCAGCTTCATTACATTTCAGCACTGTGCATTTCCTAGATGCTTGTAAAACATTTATACAGATTTATCTTTCCAGATATAAAAAGCATCTGTATTACTGCCATGCTTTCTGTGCATGCAAAGCATTGGGCATGTTAAGCAAAATTCTAATCATGCACTTCATGCCTTCCCCAGATAGGTTCATATTATGATTAAAGAATCAGGTTTGCCATCAATACTAATTATACACTGTAACGATAGAGAAACAGGAGATTAGCATCTACAAACAGAACCACTAGATAGACACATCACATTGATTTACCTTTAATATGAATTCAATAAATTATCTAATACATTGAATCTCTTGGCGAATTAGACTAAATTAAAATTCAGGCCATTGAAATTCTAAAATTGATTTTAATTTAATTTTTGAATGCGTTTAACTCTTGGTTCTCAAAAATTGCATTCGACATACCTGAGAACATAGAAAGTGACAGCAGATAAGAACCATTCGGCCCATCTAGTCTGCCCAATTTTCTAAATACTTTCATTATTCATTGGCTCACATTATTTGAAAGCAGCCTCTATTAAGTAGACTCTTTCAAGTAGGAGTTAGAAAACCAGGAGTTACTTGGAGTGGTTTGTATACTGTGGAGAGTGGTTTGTTTTTTATTTTTGTTTTTTTAAATTTACTTTTTTTTTTTTTTTTGTGTTCTGGTTTCCCCCCCCTTTTTTGTGTGCTGCTGCTTGATTGATTGGGGGAGTGTTTATTAATTACACCTGTGTGGGATTTGTATCCCCATAAAGGCACACCCCTAACTCACTGAGCTTGCTCACATTATTTGAAAGCAGCCTCTATTAAGTAGACTCTTTCAAGTAGGAGTTAGAAAACCATCTTGGATGCATCTTGGATGCAAAAGGCAGTAGCAAGATAGGACGATAGTTGGATGGGGAGTTAGGGTCGAGATTTTTAGAATTGGGGTTACAGTTGCATGTTTGAAGGGCAACGGAAATATACCAGAGTAGAGAGAGAGATTGAGAATTTTAGTGAGAGGTGGAGAAAGAGAAGAAGACAGAGTACGGATGAGATGCGAGGGAATTTGATCTAGGGAGCAGGTGGTGGGGCGGGAGGACTGGAGCAGAACAGAAACCTCTTCCAATGTAGCGGGTGCGAATGAACATAGAACAGCAGAGGGAGTGAAGTTAGGGGAAGTATTGTAAGGGGAAGAAGAAAGATGAGAGATCTCTTCTCTGATTGTAGAGATCTTGTTAGTGAAGTGAGTTGCAAAGTCTGAGGCGGTCAAGTTAGTAGGTGGAGGAGGAACAGCAGGGCGAAGAAGAGAGTTAAATGTGTGAAATAGTCTTTTGGGTTCGCGGGAGAGTGTGGTTATGAGGGTATTGAAGTAATTAACTTTTGCAGAGGAAAGAGCCAAGCTGTATGAGCTCAGCATAAATTTATAGTGGAGAAAGTCAGATGCACAGTGAAATTTTCTCCAAAAGCGTTCAGCATTTCTGGAGCATTTTTGGAGGTATCGAGTGAGCTTGGTGTGCCAGGGTTGTTGTTGGGGGGGGCCTGCGACATTTAAATGTACAAGGTGCCATGATGTCTAGTTGAGAGGAGAGGGTGGAATTGTAGAAGGAGGTTGCAGAACTAGGACAGGTAAGTAAAAGATAAGTAAAAGGAGAGTTTGGAGATTAGTGGAGAAATGCTCTAGGTCAAGACATTGGAGGTTTCTGTGAGAGTGATGTTCAGATGGTGGTGTCAATTGGGTCTTAGGTATGCCAATGTCAAAAGTCAGCAGATGGTGGTCAGATAGAGGAAAAGGAATATTGGAAAGATTAGAGGCAGTACAGAGGTTGGTGAAGGCAAGATCAAGAGTGTTTCCTGCTATATGGGTTGCTAAATTGGACCATTGTGTAAGACCAAAGGAGGAGTTTACAGAGAGCAGATGAGAGGCATCAGTGCAGTTGGGGTTATTGACTGGGATATTGAAATCCCCAAGTATAAGGGAAGGAGTGCTAGATGAGAGGAAGTGGGGAAGCCAGGAAGAAAAGTGCTCAATGAATAGTCTAAGATAACCGGGGGGGTTGGTAGATGATAGCAATTCTTAAAGCAGTGGGTTTAAATAGGCGGACAGTGTGAACTTCAAAAGAAGAAAAGGATAGGGCCGGGGGAGTTATGAATGGTTGAAAGGTACATTGAGGGGAGTTAAGGATGCCTAGGCCACCTCCTTTACAGTTAAGTCTGGGAGTGTGAGAGAATTGTAGCCCACCAAAACATAAAGAGGCAGGAGTAGCGCTATCAGAGGGGGACAGCCAGGTCTCTGTAAGTGCAAGCAGTGTGAGTGAGTTTGAGATGAAAACGTTGTGTATGGTTGTTGATTTTAAATTACTGTAGATGGAGCTGGCATTCCAGAGTGCACAATTAATTTTGGTAAGTGGGGGTAAAGGGCAGGGTATTGTGATGAGGTTTGTGGGGTTTCTGGTAATCTTAGTGTGTGTAGAGAAGGTGAGGGGCCCTGGATTGGGAGAGACATCACCAGCTGCTAGAAGTAGGAGGAGAGAATGGGTTTTGTATGCATGGGGTCTAGGATGAGATCGATTGTGGGTTGGAGTGAGAGAGTCGAAAAATGAGTGTAAGGCATGAGATAAGAGAAGGGGCATATGTAAATGTGGTTGTGGGGAGGAGTGAAGTGGGTGTAATCATAGATTTTTATACTGAAGGAGACTGAGGAAATAAAGAGGAGGAGAAAACAGATCATCGCTAAACTGTGAAAAATAAAAATTGGAGATAATTGGAATATCAAGAGCAGGGTCCAAGAATGGGTCCAAGTACAGATCCCTGAGGTACCCCACTGGTGACAAGCCCATGCTTCGAATATACTCCATTGACTTGCAGGGTTAAAACTGGGTGGGGGAGGGGAGCATGATATAAAGTGGTCTGGGTGCCTATTGTGTCCCTTTAAAGGCACTTTGCAGATCCCTAGAGCACTTTTGTTTGCTTAAATGCTTTATGTGTGAATAGTGTGCCCTCTTTTTCATTTTACAAAAGGAGCAGATTTCAATAGAAATTGGCACTTGTATAAATTAGCATTGGTACAACCCCCTGGCTATCAATCCAAAAACAGCCCTGCTTGTTTAATTCAGTGGAGCTAAACTCAAAATGAAGCAGTTGACAAAGCACCTGACTTGCAAAGACTTCTCATTGAGCTGCATTGGGGAGACTCTGATTGGACAGCCACAGAAAGTCTGGTATGGGGGAGAATGTCTGGTCTGGGGGAGACTTTAGACAAGAGATCTGCAGCTTTGGCAAAAATGGATAATTAAATACTCTAAATGCTTTATTGGAGTATATCTACAAAACATTGATTTTTTTATTTTTTTATTTGTATTTGAGCTGTGGATTGTCCCTTTAAGGAAATATAAAAATTTCTATTGCAAAGTTCTTAACATTGAGCAATCACCATGAATATCTAATGATTGCATCACTTTGAGGACAACTCTTTCTTTATACTTAATCTCCATTCTGTCCTTTGATTTGAAAACATATTATTATGTAAAGCAATATGTTTCATATTATATGCACAGCACATGAAAAAATAAGAGATAATGACTAAAACGTATTTTATATATTACAGCTAGCTTTCTGAACCCCAGAGGCAGTCTTAAATCCCTTTTCCATAAGAAATTAGTTCTGTTTTATTTGAAATCAGTCAAAGAAAAATATACATAATCCAATCATCACCCTATGCCATCTGGAGTATTTCGAATGAACTGCATCTTAAAACAATGCGTTTAAATATACAACACAAGATGCAAAGTGCTTGGGCTAGCAGGAGTTGGTATGTGCAGTTATTTATACTAAGAGGTGATGACACCTGAAAATGTGTATTAGGGAGAAAAAAAAAGTGATTTTTTTTTTTATGATTCCTGTGGCATTTCTAATTTAAATAGCAATTGATCTGCACATTAAGAGATAATTCTGGAATTTGAGTCATTCATGCTTTACTGCAGGGTGATTCTTTTTTAACTTCTTATTGTCAGCATTTACCATTTTATTTATGTCGTATCGAAATCTTGTCAAAAGATCTGAATAAATGCAGCAACAATTTCTTCTTTGCATTCAATTTATTTTATGGTACATTTTATAGTCCATAATGTCAGATGCACTCTACTTGAAAAGTTAGAACTACCTATCAGTTGGTGATGAATGGTAGCAGGAGTTCTTGCAGCTTAGACTTCAAAGTGAGACTTTGTTCCTAGATTTCTCCATGGATACCTGAACATTTTTTAAAGACATTGTCACTTACCTTACAACACTTAAACTTTCAATAATTCAATACATCAACAGGCAAATAGTTCCATCTGTCATAAAGTTAACGTTGAAGTGTTCTCAATGTGTTTTAAGAACTATGCGCAATAGAGGAGGTAATGCAATTGTTTTTTGCAGTACAAAAAGTGATTTTTGAAGTCACAGTTAAAGAGAAGCTGTCACTTGAAATAGTTATTTTTATATCTAGTGCATAAAAGTACTTACTTGTATTATTAAGTAGGTTATTATGATTCACGATCCGGAGAGTGGCACAGGGCAACCATTAGAGAATTTCAAACCCCTTACAAAACCAGGCCCCCTCAACGCACATCCTTAGACATAATGTGTGGACACACACACACACACATACACATTTCCAGATACACGCTGCCAGACAAATTCAAACATAGATGCACACTGACAAATACATATACATTGTCACACACATAGATATACATTGTGGCACACAGATAGGCACTTCTACATATATAGATTCTACCACACACAAACTCAGACACACCGACACTGAGATATACACCCACAGGCAACAATTGGCTAGGCCAC